TAGAGAGTCTTTTAATTCACCCTTTTCCTTATCAAGCACTGTTGGTAAGAGTTTATCAGCTGCATTCTTTTTTGTTGGACCACTATTGCCTGGTCTCAACATCAACAAAATTTTTTAGAATTTTGGATGTTTCATAGAACATCCAGGTCATATTTTAAAAATCTGGAAAATTGTTTGGGTAAATTATCCGGAATATATTTTTTGTCTTGAATTTGCTTTTAGCTGAGTTGTTTTAAATTTTTTATCCAAACCTATCTTAACTTTTCTATAAATGATGAGTGAAAAAGATTAAAAAGCAAATATATTACAAAAATATATACCTAAACTTGTATGTATGGAAAATGTTTTGAATATTCGGAAAAACTAAAAGTCCGGAATTCCGGAAATATCCGGAAAAAGATAATCCCTGATGTTTACTAATTAAAATGATAAATTTGTTGCAAAAATCTTGCAATCTGCTCATCAAGTGTAACCTTTTGACAAGTGGCAATAACTCTAAACTAGGGTTTTTATTTAATGGACGATTATAACTTATATTTTCTGTCTGTAACTTTTTTACAGAAACATTTAATACATAATGTACATAAAGTACATACTTAATTAACAGAAACATAAAGGGTATATTTAGATACATAATGAGCATATTTAATAGACAGATACATGTAAATTAGCATTTTATTTAATGGACCTTTATTATTGATATTTTGGCTCCATTTCCAGTAACATTTGAATTAAATTTTTCTGCTGAAACAGATGATGATCCTAAGGGTATCTTTGTAACATCAAAGTGACTGTTAGGAAAAAGCAGTTGGAAATTCAACTAAAAAAAAATTAATATTACTTAAAGAATACAAATTACAAAAAATAAATTATCATTATAAAGTGTACCTTATATAAGTATATGACTCTCTGCATTGTTTTAGTGACAACATTTTTTTAAGTATACTTTCATTTTTGCCACCAGACCCTTTTTTGCATAATTTTGCTTTACATCTTTTACCATATTTTGTATCAAATTTTTTTTAAATTAAGATACTAGTTTTTGGTTATTATGTTTTAAAAACTTAATAGAATACAAATTAAATATAATAAAAATCCAGAAAATCTTCATATAAAAAGTTGAATAGTTTTGTGAAGACATAAGCTTTTATTTTAGAAATTATTTTAGAATCCTGAGTATGCTTCTTGCTTGTTACGTGATTGCAATTTAATTTAAGTAATTTTCTTTTTTATTTAAATGAAAAAAATCTGATTTTTTGTTTTTTAAAATCATTGTTTTTTTCTAACCCTGTCTAACAAAGTTACAAAAAAAAACTTTTTTTAAAATTATTTTTTTATACATTTAATTATATTACATTCAATCACTATCAGTATATGTTTGAGAAAAATATTTTGGCAGTTAATGTCATTTACAAATAGTTTGTAGCTTAAGTAAATATGTTTCATTACGCTTTTATTATAGATATATATTCTTCTTGTCAATAAAAAACACATGGCATTTGCAAAAACCTCAGACTCATTAAAAAGATTATTAAGAGGCACCCACTAAGTTCCACATATATTCTGAACATCTAAGATGGCTTATATTTTTTGTTTGTTTAAAAAAAAAAAACATTCTATCTTTGTAACAGATACAGCAGAAAACATGATTTTACAGTAATAACAGTACAAGATTTTCTTTGATAGGCTTTAATTTATATCAATTAGATTAAACTTGATGTATTCTAAAATCATAAAAAATGATTTTGCTTCAACCCTGTGCGCTATTATTAGTTTTCCAATGATTTTGGCTCATTTCTTATTGATACATTTTGTTTTCAAGAATACAAAAAAACCTATTAGTCTTCTGTTATTATTAAAGTTATTTATTCTAGACTGCAACAGTGCACCGCAGGATTTGTGACAACATAATATATATATTATACATGTCTAATTACATTTTATTACAGAGTAATGTATATAAATGGTAAAATGATAAATCAGCTAAAGGCCTAATAATATACATTAGTGATTGACCGTAATTCAGTTAGGTTTCGGCCACAACTCAGACCGGATTTTTTGGTTCGTGTACTGGTTCCGGTAATATTTAAGATTTTAATTCTGGCTAGATATTTGGTTCAAAATGCTACCGAAAATGGATATTTTAAGGCTTTATTAAGCATTATCTTTTGATAAAATAATTAAAAAAAAAAAGTTTTTTAAATTAAATGATAAGCTTAATTAACAGAAATAAGATTTTGCATTGTTTGAAAACATAAATTAATTTACTTGTTTAAATAAATATTCAAATCTTGTAAAGTTTTTTTATCGTTATTATTCGAAAGATAATTTTGTTATGAGTATAACTTTTATATAAATAGATATATATATTAAATATTACAATTAATTTAAAAAATCCAACTTTTATCCTAACTTTATATAATCTATAAAGTGTTAAATTATTTGTTGTTCAATCAACTTGCTTTTAAGTTTAGCGCAACAGTTTTTAATTGCATTCACGCAAGAATTTTCCTTAGAAAACCATGTCTAATTGGAAAAAAAAACTATTTTGACATCCAATTATAGACAGACTGATTGCAAAGTGTCGAAAACTCTGTTCTTATGCATCCCATTCAACTGTTTTCTACACCCAACTTTACAGACAGCAAGAAATCCAAATGGATACAAAAGTCAGAATGATTTTTTAGATAGTCCATAGCTTCTCAATGCCTTGAGTTTTAAAAAAGCTTTGAAAAAAATGCAAATTCCAAAATCAAGTTAGCATTGACTAAGGTGGCAAAAAAGTACCTATCACCACCTCCAACATCTACAGGTGTTGAAATACTGTTTTCTACAGCTGGAGATATTCTCTCAAACAAAAGAAACAGAATCCATCCAGAAAATTTTGAAAAACTTCTTTTTTTTGTAGAGAAAATCTTCCAGTTGTTGGATTCTGTTATTAGTTATTTTTATTAATATGATACTTTGTTTAAATCAAAACTAACTTCAAAAAGCAATATATATTTCTGATTTTTGGCTCGGGTTTTGGTTCCTATTCCAGTTATGAATAATAAAAATCATTTTTCGGTTTAGTTCTAGTTTTGGTAAAATATTAGTTCCGGTCAATCACTATTATACATATATGTTTGAGCATGAGTCTTATTGTGTTGAACTTCTAAGAATATAAGTCTCAATTTTAGCCTCGTGAAAATTTTTAAAGTATTTTTAGTATTGGTCTTGCAGCCTTGAGTCTTGGTGTTGACCTTTACTGTCTTGGATAATCTCTGGATTTTAAAAATTTTTTAAAGAAACTTATTTAATACTGGTTCTTTTTTTACAAAACTTTTTTTTTCAATTATTCACCTCCCCAAGGCCCGAGGGGGTTACTACAGCTGAGGAGGCTACTCATTTTTTTGTTGTTGTTGTTGTTGTTGTTGTAAATCATGGTACAACCCTCTCTCAACTCTTTAACTCCAAAACACGAACCTTGACATGCAAGGCTGCTGCGCGGAGAAATTAAGTTGAGCGCGGTACTTCCAGGGACATGGTGGGAGTTGAACTCCGAACCTCTCGCTTACAAAGCGAGCGCTCTTACCACTACACCACTACCGCATTTGATAATAAAAGATTATTGTTTAAAAGAGATATTATACAACTAATTGTAAAAATTTTTTTTAATTAGAAGCCCAATTTTATTTGATGATATTTCATACGTTACTATTATGATTATTTGATCCCAGCTAAAACTACACAAATTTATCAAGAGTCAGGACATTGATCTGGAGATTTATTAGAAATGATTTGATAAAACTGCAAACTCAGAACCTAGAGACAAACTATTGTGAAAAATAAACCAAACAAAGTAATAATAAAAATTTGAATTCATTTAACCTATTGAACCACTGATTATAAATTGAAAGATCTTTCATTTGATAGTTAAAAACATGGTAATGTTTGTGTTTCACATCAGGAAACTGATTTAAAACACAAACATTACCATGTCTTTGTAAAGCTAAAGGTCAAGCATGCCTTTAGTAAGTTTGTGTACATTTTCATGTGGCTTATACCCAAATCAAAGCATTCTATTGATGGACTTAAAATTGGTGGAATATATAATTGATATAGGACCCCATTATCTATTCCAACTTTATTATTAAAAATAATATGGTTAAGAGTGCAGAGTTCATTACCATGTTCTTACATAATGTTTGAACTCATAGACTGAAATACAAAATTACAAAATACAACCCAAAGCATCATTTAAGACTTTCAGTGGAACTGTGTAAAGTAAAATAAAATATAAAGTGTTTTTAAAACTGTATGATACTGCTTAAGCTTATAAACTGTTCGATTCAATTGAATAATAAGGAATATATTAATAGTTAAAAAAAATCATGTGACTTAGAAAAAGAAAAAAAAAATTTTTTAAGAAAAACTTGTAAATTTTTAAAAATTGACTTTGAAATTAAAAAAAATACTAATAAAGAGTCTATCTATAATCTATTTTTATATCAATATTTGTATCTTTTTTTATATCATTATTTGTATCTATTTTTATATCATTATTTGTATCTATTTTTATATCATTATTTGTATCTATTTTTATATCATTACTTGTATCATTAAATTATACACTTATATAAGGTACACTTTATAATGATAATTTATTTTTTGTAATTAGTATTCTTTAAGTAATATTAAATTTTTTTAGTTGAATTTCCAACTGCTTTTTCCTAACAGTCACTTTGATGTTACAAAGATAACATCAAAGTGACTGTTAGGAAAAAATCATCATCTGTTTCAGCAGAAAAATTTAATTCAAATGTTACTGGAAAAAAAGTCATGGAGCCAAAATATCAATAATAAAGGCCCATTAAACAAAATGCTAATTTACATGTATCTGTCTATTAAAAAAAAAAAAAAAGTCAAAAACATAAATTATTATTTATTAAAAGTAGAAAAACTTTGATTTTTTTTAAATTTAATTTCAATCCCTAATAAAAACAGTAAATAATAAATACCATATTGAAGTTAAGCATTGTTTGTATATGAAATTCAGAATTATCTAACAATGATTTCGGCAAGTAACTAAACACGCTCTAAAAAAAAATTTATACAATATATAACTAAAAATTAATATATATATATATATATATATATATATATATATATATATATATATATATATATATATATATATATATATATATATATATATATATATATATATATATATATATATATATATATATATATATATATATATATATATATATATGTATATACACACACACACATATATACATATATATATATATATACATTGACTATCAAATAGCCAAACACGCAATGGAGTGCTGCCTCATTGACTTAGGGTTTGGCATGGGGCAACAATCTTTTCTTTCATTATTATTATTTTTTCTTTTTTTTTTCTGAGCACACTTTTTTACCTTAAGAGCGCAAAAATAATATTAGGAAATTGCAACGTTACATATGGATCGGGGATTGTATAGTGTATATATTTTTTTATATAACTATAGTATAGTATATATTATATATATAATTATTTTAGCTTATAGAAAATTACTATTACTATTAATATAACTATTACCAGTATTACTAATATAATATTAGTATTATATATTAATTAAAATTACTAATATAAAACTTATTGTAACTGTTTTTGAAATAAAAGTTAAAAAAAAAACCTTGAATGCTTTTCTTGATATTCCATTCAGACCAGCTAATTTTATCTCCTTAAGAATTGATAAGTGATGCAAAACAGTATCTTCTGATAATTTCAAGTAAATACTGATAATTTTACAATATTCATCAGTAGTTATACCTATAGGTAAAAAAAAGTTATTAAAAAACTAACCTTTTTTAAACAAAAACATTTGCTGTAAAAAAGATGGAGATTTATTCTATTTATGCATACATGGTTAAGAGGATTTATTTTATAATTAAACTTTAAAAACCAATGCAATTGAATAGAATCTTGTTGAATCTTGAACAAAAATGTTTGAAACTAGACAAAGGAAACAAAGGTTGATAATAAGAATTCTTACTTATTTGCAATTATTTGATTTTTTTTATTGAAAGAAATAAAAAAAAACACATCAGTTGTTTATCTGCTATTTTGAACCCTCTTTGCATTTTAATCCTTCTATTGCTTATGTGGTAAATTATTATAGTCTATAGAATAAAAACAAACCATTAAAACAAATAAAAATGATTTTGTAGCTTTATAGATTAAAAAATTTATTTTAATAACATTTCAAAGAAATATAGATAACTCCATCAAGTTATGACATATAAAAACCAGTAATAAAAAATAAAAACAAACTTTGCAGTAGCTTCATTGATCATGTCTAATAAAATGAAATAGTTACAGACAAACGAAATAGAAAGGAAAAATTCTTTATTTTGAGCATAACTAAAAATAAATTGAAAAGTTCTGCAACTAAAGAGGCAATGTTCATTTTGAAATAGCTTAAGAAATCATTTATGATGCTGCCAAAACGCAAAAATGACCTAGTCGTCTGAATTCCTAGAGCAGACCAGACTATATATTAGAAAATATGAATCATGAACTTGAATTATTGTCATCTTAAAAAAACTCTGTTGGACAGAATACAATACAATGCTTGATTTTACACCAAGTTAAGTATCTTTGTGAAACTAAAGTTTAATGTTTTTTTTTGTTTTTATAGGTAACTATTAAACTAATACATTATTCAGTTATTTTTTTTTTGTTACTTTTTTTTTTTTTTTTTAATTTTATGAAGCGTTTTTAGGCTATTAAGATGTCAATAAGGACCCACTTTCTATAGTGTACACAGAGTGTGGGCCCTTTTTTTATAAAAAGGTTTTTTAGAAAAAAGTAACATTTTGTTTTTATACTAAACACCATCATAATTTTACCAAAACAATTGGATTTTTTTGTGTTTTTAAAATGCAAAAAAGAGTTAATTTTTTTTTTGGTTATCTTGTAAACAAACATATACACATGTAATGTTTATATATGATGTATTAATGTATGTATTTATTCATTAAAATCATGTGTAATTCAAGCATTTTTTACTTTAGAGTATGATGGCAACAACATCAACTGCTAAACAGACACAAGTACAAATTTTAATGAAAGACAGAAGGGGAGGGAGCAATCTGTCTTAGCTATCAAATGGCTTCTTGCCCAAAATATATATTTTTTAATTTGAACTCAAACTTCAGATTTTTATACTAAAAAAAACTCAGATTTTTATATTAAAAAAAAAAATGATATTTATATTTGTCCTTTACAAAAAAAAAAAATGATATCTGTCCTTTACAAAATGTTAGCTTTAATAAATAAAATTGTTACTTCTAATTTTTTCTCTATGAGGCATCGAAAAAAGAGACCTCATAGAGCAAAAGAAAATTTTATAATAGTCTCATATAAAAATTTTTAAAAGTTTTTAACAAAATAAACTTACTTCAAGAAAATATTGATAAACTTGTAATATAATTTTGTTATGCTAGTAAAAATACTGTTATAAGGAAAAAAATCACAAAAAATACCACATCCATCAACCACCTAATTCCCCCCCCCCCCCTCCCTTACTTTAGCCTCAAAAAAAAATAGCAATATTCTGAATATTACTATTTAAGAACAAAAAAATGCAAAATATGTCAAAAGAGTCAGCATAAATAAGAAAATTGAAATTGGATATTATCACAAAGTACTTTTTTATACTATGACTTTTTAAATTCTTTTATGGTAATAAATATTGGGTGGTCAAGTAATTTTGACCGCATTTGTTGTTTCAATAAAAAGTATTATGCCAAATTTTTTATGCATATTATTATGCATAACCTTTTAAAACTTTTTTGGTAAAGCTTAGAAGGTCATAAAAGAAAATAGTTCCACTTGATAACAAATTTTAAAAATAATAAGTAAGAACAGGATTGAAAAAAAAAAGAATTAAAACTAAAAAACCATTTTTTTTTGGTTTAAAATCATTTAAAAAAAAAAAAAAAAAAGAAAAAAAAGAAAAGAAGAATTTAGTGAAATTTCGATTTAATAGAATATTTTACTTGAGTAAATTATCATTCTTACTCTTGGTAAAATTTCATGGTAATCTTTCAAATATAACAGTTTTTGAACAATATTTGATATAGTATTTACTAATAATGATGTTCCCCTTTAAACATATAACCCAAACGAATGACACCTGCTATTTTGCAGATGTAGAATTTCTTTCTTTGGATGGATTGATTAGCTTGTGGGGTATCCATTAAGATGCTTGCTTTATTTATAAAAAAATGTTGTAGTTAACACAATTGATTGTAAAACAATTAATTGATGTCAAGGCTTCAATTGTATAATGTATTGCATGAGGGTTTTCTTTAATAGCCACATACAGTTGCTAAATATTCTCAGCTATATTCACACTTTTTTAATGCTCTCAGTTTTTTTTTTTATATCTCCCTAATTATAACAATGTTCTATTAGCTTAATGTAGAGTTTAAGTTTGTGGATGTTGTGAATTGCACAAATTATTTCTTATTTATAATTTTTATTTCTTATTTCTAATTCATCAAAATTGGTCTATCCATATTTCAATTGTAATTCATCAATATTTGTCCTTAATTTAACATTTTATAGAGAAAGATTAACTACTTAATTAAACTCCATCAACTCAATCTTGCATCATCATGTTACCTCCATCATCAGATGTTTCTAATCTGCTAGTTAAAAAAGTTCTTGTAATTTCTTCATTAGAAGCTGGCGCACTAAAGGATTCTTTTATGCCCTTTATAATTTCAAAATCCAAACATTCTATATAATTCCTGGTTAAAAACTTATTTTTAGAAGTATCTTAATGCTTTTAGATAATACACTTATACTAAGTCAATCAATCAGTCTATATATTTTCACTTTAACAACTGCATATATTTAGAATACAAACAGTTTACAAAAAACAATTACAAACAGTAGTACAAAACAATTATTGTAAATTAAAAGTAATAATAAAATTAATAATAACACAGTAATAATAAAAACAACAATAATATTACTAATAATAGCAGTAGTAATAACCATAATATATATAATAATAACAGTAATAGTTTACAACAATAACACTAATAAAAATAATTATGTTAATTATAAAGATAATAATACCTAAACAATAATAATTAGGGCATAGAGGTGGCTGTTTAGGGGAGTGCTGTAAATATGAAGCTATACCTACATTTATACATTCAGTCACTCTCAAACACGCACACACACACAAAGACGCACAAATATACATATACACACATATATATGTAATAAATAAACATATAATTATTTAGATATATTATACATACACACATATATTCTTACAGGCACAGACATATAAATGCACAATTATACATGCATATAAATATAAAAACAGTTCATACACACATACAAAAATGAAACAGAAGTAAAAGAAAAGGTAACTGAATAGGTTTAAAAACAAGGGAAAACTAAAAATTTAGAAAAACAATTTTTTAATTTTTTGAAGGATAAATTATTGAGTGTTTTTTTAGAGGATAAATTTTTTTTGGTATAACCAATGAAAGCATTTCTAGTAATGTTTAGAAGATTTATTTTTATTGAAAGTGGAAGCGAGTTCCAAGAGTGAATTGTTTGGTATTTAGTAGATTGAATACCATATTTGCTTGTTTTTTTAAGGTAGATCTAGGTTATAACAAGATACAGATCTAAGATTGTAATTATGAATATCACTTGTGAATTTAAAATAATTGTTGAAACATAAAAGATCTTTTTAAATTTGTAAACAGTACTTTGTTTTTCCTTTTTAAAATTTATTCTTAATTTGGTTTAAACCAACATTTTTTAAAATGATTTAAACCAATTATACTAAAATAACTAGGTTCATTTAAGTATTATTTGGAGAATTTTAGTTTCAATACCGTTTTCGAAATTGAATCTCAATTGCTTAGTTCCAACAAAAGTGATTACAATTAAATATTAAAATTTATTTTATTAATCAAATATAATTTATTTCTAAGAAAACCTTGATATATATATATATATATATATATATATATATATATATATATATATATATATATATATATATATATATATATATATATATATATATATATATATATATATATATATATATATATATATATATATATATATATTTATATATATATACAAACAGTCAACTTTCCAACTCACTTTACAGACAATCCGAATCATTTACCTTCTCTACTTGACTTATGTCTTGTTTCTGATCCTAATCAGTGCTCAGTTTCTCCACCTTTACCCTTAGGTGCTTCTGATCACGGTTTGATCTATTTAAAACTATCTCATTCTTCTTCATTATCAGAATTCCACTATCATCATTCCTCTTACTACCTTAAAGCTGACTGGAACTCTGTGAATTTTTTTGTAATGGTCCTTGGGTAAAAATCTTTTGTCTTCCTGCTGACAAATGTCCTTCTTACATTACTTCTAAAACTCAGGCTGGCAAGAAACCTTTATTCCCTCTTGATGATTCCAACTCAAGCTTCATTCTCCTCCATAGTTTTCCTCTCATTGTGCTTCTGCAATTTCCAATCAAAACCATTACTTCCATATCTATCAGCAAAAAAATTCTCCAGAAAACAGACGTCTGTTTACTTTATTGCTAGAAACCATTATAAAAAGGTTTTGTCAAATGCCAAAGCCCACTATTCTCAGGTCACAAAATCTTGTGACCTGAGAATCTTTCATCTTAAAAATTAGGCTGTAGTGAGTTCTGGAGAATTTTTAACAGCATCTATAACAAGGGTAAATCTGTTATTCCACCTCTCTTGTATGGTTCAAATTTTGTCACCTCACCTAAAGACAAAGCTGAACTGTTTGTTAATTATCTCATAATTCTAGTTGCGTTCTATTTGATATAGTCGATGAACAGGTTAATCCATTACCTGATATTTGTATCACTCCAGCTTCTGTATCTAGATTTTTTGTTTAGACTCTTCTGCAGCTAGTGGATATCATACCTGTTATAGTCTTGCAAAGATTTTCTCCGGAGCTGTTGTCTAAACTTTCAAAACTATTTAACAAATGCTTATCAGAGTCTTGTTTTCCAGTCCACTGAAAAGCAGCAACTGTTATCCCTATTTTCAAAAATGGAAAGTAATCTGATTTGTTAACAGTAATAGCCGATAGGTTGTAACTACCGGTAATAACTAAACAGTATTAACTTATAGATGTGAATAACCTAACATTAGGGAGAGGCTGATAGATGTGAAGAAAGTTATCGCTCTCGAAATTTCTAAAGTTTTTAATAGAGATTGGCATGCTGGTCTTCTCCAACACTCTCTGATTACTTGGAGAGGGCAAAATTAGCATCCACTAAAGTTACATCTCTTTATTGAGCTCTACACTTTTTTACTCTGGATTCTATTCTTCATCTCTATAAATCTCAAATCCATCTTTGTATGAAATACTGTTGCCATATCTGGGGTGGATCTTTGAATGATGCCCTTTATTTTTTAGACAAGGTGCAAAAATGCATTGTAAACAAAATTGAAAATAAACTTGTAATTATAAGTTTTTTTAAATGCATTAGTTTGTACTTCAAAAATATTTACCTCATTTGTAATTGTATTTCAAAATCTCCCAAAAAATATTTACCTCATTTGTATTTGTATTTCAAAACCTCCCAAAAATATATTTAATTTTTTTTGGGAGGTAAACACAAAAAATAATGGTATTTAAACAAGTTACTTTAAACATCTTCAATTAGAAAAAAAATTGTCCCATGCAGTGCTCACTAAATGTTTGTTAAGCACAATTCAATTTAACATTTTCATACGACCAAAAAATTTGTTTTTTTCTGCCAAATAAGTCTGATTAATCAGCTTAGTAGTATTTAAGCTTGATTTAATGATTAAGCATGGTTTAGCTTAGTCAACCAAATAAAACTTAGTTAACTAAATCTATTAGTTATGGTCATAAAATAAAACAGGAGATATGGGCTTTAAAATTAGAACTTAGAAATTAGAAATCGGTAAAATATTGAAATTAAATTTTTTTTTTATCCCACTCAAAACAAGAAATAGCAAAAAATGGGCAAAAAACATATACTCCATTTAGAACAGTTTTCATGTCAAATAAAAATACGAAAATAATATAGGGAGAATAAATTAACTTTTTCATTTTAAATTTCATCTAGAAAAGATCTATTCTAAACACACACAAAAAGAGAGAGAGCAACACAAGTGTACACAGATATTTATGTTCAGATGTAAATATTAAATATTTATATTCAAATATAAATATTAGATATTTATATTCAAAAATAAATATTAGATATTTATATTCAAATATAAATATTAGATATTTATATTCAAATATAAATATTAGATATTTATATTCAAATATATAAATATTAGATATTTTTATTCAAATATAAATATCTGTGTGTACCAACATTTTATTCAAATAACCATCGCACACAATTAAAAACAGTCTATTGCACACATTTGTGATGCTCCATAAAAAAATTAATTAAAAAAAATGCTTAAAAAAGCTTAATTCTTGAAAATTATGTGTTACTCCAGTAAATTGTATAAACATACAACTTTAATTGAAATGGGTTACTGCATTAAAAAAAACATTACAATATAATAGAAAATCAATGTTTTTTTATAAAATTTAATTTAAAAAAACAAAATCAAAAAACAAACAAAAAATAAAAATAAAAATAACTTTACCCTCAGTTTCTGGCTCGTTGTTCTCTAAAAATCTCTGCCAAACAAGTTTTTGCTCAGTTTTGATTGGGGCTTTAAATTTCAATTTACAATATGGAGAACTCTTCAAACATAAAGTTATCTGGAGTGGTTTAATAACCATCAAATCATGAGTGTTCATAGTATTGGTTGGTATAGGTTGTTCATCAGATAAATCTCGATGAAAAGTTAGACTTGTTTGTGAAGCACAAAGTTTAGTATCTTTCAGTTGATTTAAAGAAACCATTTTTTTCTTACTTGAATTTCGCAATGGTATATCAGCTGTATACACAAACTGTTTCACTAAGCTTTTGTTACAGGACTTACAACGTTTTGAAAAAAAAGAACAGTTCAAACTTTTGTCACAAGAAATTAATTTTGATACAACGTATCCATAGTATTTTAATTGTTTCTCTTCTACTTTACTAAACTTTACTTTTTTGTTATTGTGATTTTCGTTTTCTGACATAACGCCAGATTTAACTGTACGCATGATTGTTTTGGGCTTTTTTATTATAGCAGCATCTTCTTTTTTATTAAATGTGTCTTCTGCTTTAATTAAATTGTTTTCAGGTTTCTCAGCAGTGAAACATTTTTCAGATGAGAGATTCTCACATATAACGGGTATTCTAGATGTAACATTTTCAGATGGAAATAAAACCTGCTCACAATCTGAAGATCTCTTGGAATCTCTGTCTGAAGATGAGACTTGCTTTCTTTCAAGTTTCGGTTCATTAAATGTTTTGATCATGGCATTTTCATTTTCTTTACTTAAATCAAAATTAGGAGGATAATCAAGACACAGTGATTTTTCAAAACTGCCCTTTTTATTATAATCTTTTTCAAGACTATCTTCTGAATGGTTTTCAATGTTTGAAAAATCTGTTTGATATCGCTTTTGAAAACTATCCATGTATGCTTTCCACCCTCTCTTTGTACGCTGCTCTAATGTAATTTTTTGAAAATTGCAGTCTCTCTCATTTAAATCTTTTAAATGTGATTCATCACATGTCAGCATTTCATCTGGGAGAGCATAGTCCATGTTGACCTATTAATTGTGAGTTAAAAGTATTTAAAAACATATCTTTACACACATATTTATAAATATAAGAAATACACACATATTTATAAATATAAGATTTAGGTCAGCATTGTCCATATATTTTTCACACTTTATTTTCAAAAGTGCTGACTTTAATCCAGACAGTTTTTCAGGCAAATCCCTAAAATGTTATATTTGTTACAAGTATATATTCTCTATGCACATAAATAGCTTATAAAATTCAATAATATTTTTTTCTATTTAAAAACTGAAAAACTAATTTTTTGCAAGTTAACTAAAACAAAAAGCAATTCATAATACAAAATACACAATTATACTTTCTTGGTTCAATTTCATTAACAATACAACTTTTAAATAATCAAATTATACAAAAAAATGTCTTTTACAATTTTAAAAATAAAATTTTTGTTAAAACTAATATCCATTTATATATCAATACACATTTAAACCAGAATAACAAACATATAAGCAAACACCTTTATCTTATAATATGTTGAAAAATGAATTTAAAGAAAATCAAATTTGTGTAATTAAAAATTAAACTTTTGACTTCTGTTACAAAACAAATTAATTTTTAACAGGTTGTTATGAATTCAATACATTTTCAAAAAATTAAAAAAAAAGTAAATTAGAAGTGGTCAATTTAGAAATGGTCAATTTAGAAGATAATTTGTAAAAATTAGGACATTGAAAAAAACAACAACACTGTTTTGGTAAGTTTTTCCTTTTTTACTAGAATTGAGGCATTCATTATAACTTTTAAATCCTTGCAGTTGTTGCATTTGTTGAAGAAACAATAATTTAATAAGTCTGTTGATAATTCAAATTTTGTACAAACTTGAAACTTTTGTAAAAAATTTGAAACTTTTTTGTTATCTATTTTATTGTTAGAAGGAAAAAGAAAACTTCAACTACGGAAGATAAAGACTACAAAAAAGGTTTTTCAAAACGCTTATCAATATCTAATGTTGTTACATTAACTTTATTTTTTTTACTAGTTGCTTGCTTTTTCATTACTTTTAGTTACCAATTATAAACATTTTGAATTGATGACTTTTAATTATGGTTATTATAATATAATAATTTTAACTTTTAATTATGAATTTTAATTATAAAATAATTAAACAAATTTTAACTATAAAAATATAATAACATATACTATGACTTTTTATAAACAATATTTTAACTTCAAATTTCTTACATAACTCAGCAACTCTTAAAACAACTAAAATCGTATAACATATTGAGCAAATTGCTCATTCCTGCACAGAAATCATGGCAGGTATAACAGCTGAGTTAATGGCGTAATATAGACAAGGGCTATTCTAGGCGAAAAATTTAGTTGGTGGTCTCCCCTGCCCCGGTAAAATTTAGCGGGAATATTGCAGAATATAGGCATATTTCCAAAACAATATCTGCCGTAAAAAACATTAAAATAAAAAATAAAAAAAAGGTCCTCAATATGGGTGGTGCCTAAATTGACGCCTAAATACGGTCAATGCTGTCAAAAACGGTCTAGAATAGCCCCTGATAGAGTAATAGAGTTGCAGCACTTTTTTAATAAAAAAATGTGAAAGAAAGTCTACGCAAATATATAACTTATGTAAACTTTAAAATTTTCAAAATATCTAAAATGATATCAAGTTTTACAGATTTATTTTTACTCGAAAATAGAATTGCAGCAAAATCTTCTTAAAAGGATCCCCAAGCGCTAGACAAGTTGTGTTTATATCATAGATTAGAAAATAAGTTTAAAACTAATTAAACTTTCCAAAACAAATAATTTAATGAGATATTAACAAAAGCATTTGTTGTTTTGCCATTATACTTCTGGTTATAAGGTTAATTTTTTTTAGATTAATATTAATCTTACAAATCTGCATAGTTTTTTCTTTTAATATTATTAAAAGAAAAAACTATGCATATATTACAATATCGGGTTTAAATAATGCCTGCGCTCTCCACAGAGTTTTTTAAATCATTTAAATTAATACAATAGGATGGAGTTTTCCCCTTTATATTTTTCCCCTTTAGTCTGCGGTGGTTATAAAAAACGATCACTGTAGCATGTTTTTGTTTTTTGATCGAGTTGGAATTAACTTACATAATAAAAAAAGTAATTAAACCAAGTTTTCTACTTTTATTTGAAAATAAGTGAAGTAAATATTTTCTTTTACAATAGGAAAATCAAATTTTACTTATGTTATTTATCACCAAATAACAAAAATAATGCAGTATTTTCTTTTTTTTAGATTTTATTAGCAACATGTATTTAGTAAATGTTAGAATCATTTTTGATTTTTTGTATCATGCTAATTTGTATAGTACTTATATATATATATTTTTTTTGAAAACAAAACAAATAGTTTTTAATTAAAACAAAAAATATTACTATTAAAGTGTTATATACTTATAGATCATATGATTTTATACACGTATTTATATCACATAGATTTTAACAACACAGGCAACGGCGTGGCATTTTAGTGTAGAAGGAGGGGGTTGAAGCACTATAAAAACCTAATAATAGTCTACTAAAAAACTATACATAAAGTAATAAAATTATGTAACACATCTTCCTGTATTGATAAAATGTATTTAAAAAATTTATTTTAAAAATATTCATATTTTAAGTTCATACATTTTAAGTTCATATTTTATTAAATAATTTATTAAAATTGTTTTAATGTCACAAGTTGTAACTCAATAAGCTGTAACTCAATTTATTTTTTTTAAAGGATTTTTATAATAGCAATTACACAAAAGTATTAAGAATAAAATGCAATAGACAAAACAAATGCTTATTAAATTAATAAAAGAAAGAAAATAAATTTGTTTATTTATGCCTTATTTTTACTTACTTGCATTTTCTTGAAATATAATTAAATAGTTAATCTCTTTTATTTCTCCAATAAATTCAACTTATTTATTAAATCAATGACAATTAGATATTTTTCTTTAATTTTTCAATGATTTCTGTTGTTATATAACTCATTCTTCTTATTCATAAAAAATATTCAATTGTTATACTAAAATAATTATGTAAAGTACGTCTGTACTTATAATTAAATATATAATATAATTAAATATGTCTTTTTAAGTTCATATTTTAAAAAACAAAACTAAAAGACATTAAAAAAGTAAATAATACATCGTTTTCATATAGGGTAAGTGGGGACATAACCGTATATGGAGACACAATTGTTTTTTAACATTTCCCTTTGAAAAATATTATCTAATATGGTTAAAAACATTTCACGCATTGGTAAAACAATTTCTTTTATTTCACTTAGTCAAAAAAAGTGCCTGATGGGTTTCTGAGAAGTTGTGCTTAATAATGTTTATTTTGATAAAAATATTATTTTTACATCATATTTTTCTAAACCTTTCTTTTGAGGATTGAGCAATATTTGATTTTAGTGTTAAAGATATGTGTTATCAGCATTATTTCATTAGGTGAAAACCATTTTTGATATCAACATAATCTAATAAGCAAGCTATGAAACTGAATTCTTTCTAAAAACTCTCTTCTGGGGCAGAACTCTCTCCATGACCGAACTCAGAGAATGCCTGCACAGTATGCAAACATGCAACAAAATCATCAAATAATCTGAGCTGTGAAAATTGTAAAGAAAATGTACCATGAAAGGTGTAGCCCCAACGATTTTTGTGAGGGTACGGTTTTGCCTCACAATGGGAGCAAAACCGTTTTTTCACTAAGTGTACTTTTTGTGTAATAAAATTTTCAAAAACTGTTATAGTTTTTTTCCTATTTGCAACGATTTGAAGCTTAATCATTATTGAAATTGTTGAAAAAACACATTTCATTTTTATTTTCATATAACATCGATCCAAATGTTACAAGGGCGATTATGCCCCCACTTCCCCTATAGTTATTTTGTAAAATATGCATGATAGCAACAATAAAAAATTGACATCATTAACAATTAATATCATGCAAACTTCTTTGTTTTAGAACATGGCGGACTTAACAATTATACAGTTATCTTAATGATTATAATAACTAACTTATAATGATTACAAAGCTAGACAAAGTGATACATAAAGTAATAAAATTACGCAATCTTACTGTATTGATAAAATGTATTTAAAAATTATTTTTTGACACATACTAAGTTTAAAAAAATAAATAAATGCAAATGTTATTTTATTTATTTGTTTATTAAATAAAAGTTATGTATTACTTATAATTAAATTAATTATATCCTGGGGCCATGGCAACAGAGGGGCTGAGGGGGCATCCCTCCTCCCAGATTTTTTCATAAGGTCTTTTTATTTTCTTTATTAAGTGGGTTTTTAATAGTTTTAGAGCATTGAAGTTGTGTATTTTGCAGGGATATTTTTATATTCCAACAAGATATTTTATTTTTACACTATATTTTTGATGTCAGAATATATATCTTAATTTTTAGCTTAAATTATATAATTATAACTGCAATCAAAAAAGTTAGTTAACGTTTTCATCATTTGAACATTTAAATTTAAACTCACTTCACTATTTAAACGTGGAATGGATAGGATTAGTAAACTTTGGCAAAAGAGTTTCCCAATTTTGATGTGTTTGTATTTTCATTTCAAACCTCATTTTTTTATTTAAATTAAATGCTAAAACAAATTTATTTTTAATGCTTTGTTGAATATTGAGCAACTTAGGTTGTCAGGTAACTTAAGCCTAATTAGAATGTGCATAGTTTGCAGAATATATTGTCAAAATATTTCAAAAATTGGGAATTATTGTTTCACTTTCATATATCGCTGTGTACTAAAAAATATTGAAGCAGGGAATAAGTATAGAAATGGTCAGAATGGAATAGTCTTACAAAGACCCATATTTTACAGACCCGGACAGCTAGTAACTTATAAACTCCAATTCCTATTCAAATATCCAACTGCAAAACTCTCTATTGGAAGAAAAAATTTTTTTTTTTTTTTTCAATCATTGTTTTTTGATCCTCATAAAAGGA